GTTTCACTAATAAAAATTAAAAAAAAAAAAAAGAAATTAAGGAGCCAGCAGTCGGGCAGAGAACTCAAAAAGCTAGAGCAGAAGCTGGAGCAATAGCACAGGGGGTAGGGCGTTTGCCTTGCACGTGGCCAACCCGGGCTCGATTCCCAGCATCCCATATGGTCCCTTGAACACCACCAGGAGGAATTCTTGAGTGCAGAGCCAGAAGTAAACCCTGTGCATCACCAGGTGTGCCCGAAAAAGGAAAAAAAGAAAAAGTTAGAGCACATGCTTTACATGCAGGAGGCTTAATTGATCCCCAGCACTGCATGGTCCCCTGAGTACCACTGGATGTGGTCAAAAGACATAAAGGACGAAAAAGAAAACGAGGGAGCTAGATGGTACACAATGGATCCAAGATGGCCGTGACTTATGGAGGAAAAGTTGCTTTGGAAGTAGGAAGTGAGGAAGGGACAGGCAGGAGAGAAAGCTCAATGGGATGAGTGCATGCTTTGCTTCAGGGGCGCCCGGTTAAGTCCCCAACACTCTGTAGTCCCCTGAGCACCACCAGGATCAACTCCCAGGCACAGAACCAGAAGCTGCCGAGGATCAACTCCCGGGCACAGAGCCAGAAGCTGCCCAGGAGTTGCGGTCTATAAAATAAATACATCAATAAATAAATAAATAAAAGGGAAGCTGGAGCAAGAAACATGCACCGGTGGAGGGATGGGTATATGGCTGAAATCCAACCACGAATGACTTTGTAATGCTCTAAAAAAAAATTTTTAAAACAACCTAAGAAATAAAATAATAATAATAATAAATTTTAAAAAGGTGAAGGAGGGATAGTCTTTTAAAGTTGGAAACTAATTATGGTGTTATTTAATCAAAAATAAAGGTCTAAGCTACTCGTGCCATGCAAGGAGGAAAAATGATTTCCCTCTAAAATTCTAGATTCTCGGGGGAGACCACCACCATCCTCCCCTCCACAACCCCCTTAATATAAGACAGATTTAAAAATAAATATATGTATATATATTGGGCTGGAGAGATAGCACAGCGAGTAGGGCGTTTGCTTCACATGTGGCGGACCTGGCCGACCCAGGTTTGATTCCTCCACCCCTCTCAGAGAGCCCAGCAAGCTACCGAGAGTATCTCTCCCGCATGGCAAAGCCTGGCAAGCTACCCATGACATATTCGATATGCCAAACACAGTAAAAAGTCTCACAATGTTACTGGGCCTGCTCAAGCAAATCAATAAAAAATGGGAGGACAGTGACAGTGATATATATATATATATATATATACACACACACATATATTGCACAGCAGATAGGATGTTGGTCTTGAATATGGCCGACTCGAGTTCTAGTCCTCAGTCCCTCTCGAGAGTCCAGCAAGCTACCGAGAGTATCCTGCCCGCATGGCAGAGCCTGGCAAGCTCCCTGTGGCATTTTCGATAAGCCGAAAATAGTAAAACCAAGCATCACAATGGAGACGTTACTGGTGCCCACTCGAGCAAATCGATGAACAACGGGACGACAATGCTACAGTGCTACGTATACAAATGTGTGTTTGTGTGTGTGTGCATATATATATATATATATATATATATATATATCAGACTAAGTAGAGAAAAACAAACAGAAGTTACTCGTATATATACCTCCTGCATACACAGGAAATCTCAACCAAAGAAAAGAGAGTAACTCCCTGCAAAATGCCCAACCCGTCACCTTAAGAACAATCTCCCGGGATTGGAGCGATAGTCTAGCAGGGAGGGCGTTTGCCTTGCACGGGGCCAACCCTGGTTCAATCCCCAGCATCCTATATGGTCCCCGAGCACCACCAGGAGTAATTCCTGAGCGCAGAGCCAGGAGTAACCCCTGAGCATCGCTGGGTGTGACCCAAAAAGGAAAAAAAAAACAATCTCCTACTAAAGATGGGGTAGCAGGTGGGTTATATTGAACCTAACGTCGGGCTGGAGCGATAGCACAGCGGGTAGGGCGTTCGCCTTACAAGCGGCCAACATGGCCGACCCGAGTTCGATTCCTCTGCCCCTCTCGGAGAGCCCGGCAAGCTACCGAGAGTATTCGATATGCCAGACACAGTAACAACAAAGTCTCCAATGGAGACGTTACTGGGCCCGCTCGAGCAAAAAACGTCGGGCATATATTGGTGGGGAGCACAACGCACTAGGACACAGCTGATGCGCAGATCTCCATCCTCACTGAGAAGAGTTAGTAGAGATTTATACTCATCGTCCTCTTCCTGCGCTAGAAAGGAAGTGCCCCTTAGAAAGTGAGATTTTCGGGGCTGGAGAGATAGCACAGCGGGTAGGGCGTTTGCCTTGCACGCGGCTGACCCGTGTTCAATTCCCATATGGTCCCCTGAGCACTGCCAGGAGTAACTCCTGAGTGCAGAGCCAGGAGTAACCCCTGTGCATTGCCAGGTGTGACCCCCCCCAAAAAAAGTGAGATTTTCTTCTCTGGGTGCTCAAAGGAGGCAAAGTGATGTGCATGATTCTTAGTATTGTAAACCACAGTGCCTTAAAGAGAGGAAAACGGGGAAATATGTGTCTGCCATAGAGGCAGGCCGGGGTGCAGAAAGGAAACTGGAGACGTGGGTAGGAGGAAGGGAACACTGGTGAACGGATGAGTACTCGGTCACTGTACTCCTAAAACCCAATCGTGAATGACTTTGTAACTGGCTAATTCACCGTGGTTCAATATTTTTCGAAGAAAATAATACCAAAGTTAGATTGTTCTAATAAATGTAACTTTATCTCGCGGAAGGGCAGCTTTGCCTTGTTTCAGAGCTTTTTCAATGTGTGCTGTTTCTTTAAAATAACCCACTCAGAATAATCCTTATGCCAAGAAGCCCATTTGGAGGTGACAAATTTCACACCTTTCATAGTTCATCTGGTTTCAATCAGCAATCAGTTTTTTCAGCCCAACAAAATTGAGAGGATGCTTGATAGGAGAGATCAAAATGCTGTGACTCTCCCCACTTCCATTTCATTATGCCACTAGAAAGCCACTTCTTAAAATAACAAAATAATTCTGAATGAAACTGCAAAAGCTTCCTGAGGAATAAATTCAGAATAAACACATAATGGGAAATGATCAGTATAATTGAAGAAAACTGGGGAAGAACAATGTTAAGTGATCACTAAGAGCCTTTCATTCCCATCATCAGTTGGAGACGCCTCAGCAGAGAATCAGGAGCAGAGGAAGAAACGCGATGTGGACTTTTGCCCCAGTGCTAGTTTCTTATCATGGGAACTGAGTCTTTCTTGGAAACAGATAAAGCTCTGTCCTATCCTCCCCTAAGCCTCCCATGAGGACACAGGTAAAGCCTCACTCTCTTTCCACATCCAACCTGTCACAATGGACAGGGAAGATCTGGCAAGAATTCCAGTTCTGCCCCATTCAATGGCCCAAAGGAAAAGACAGCGGTCTTTAAGTGGAGTAAATCTGGTTCTGGTTCTACCATTGCACTCTAGCTAAAGTTCTTGTACTTTACTTTAAAATACTTTTTAATTATATATATAAATCACTGTATCACCGTATCACTGTCATCCCGTTGTTCATCGATTTACTCAAGCGGGCACCAGTAACGTTCCCATTCATCCCAGCCCTGAGATTTTAGCAGACTCTCCTTACTCGTATTTCCCAACGCTGTCGTATTGAAGGCTCTTTCAGGGTCAGGGGAATGAGACCTGTTATTGTTACTGTTTTTGGCATATTGAATACGCCATGGGTAGCTTGCGAGGCTCTGCTGTGCGATATATATACATATATGTTTGAATTATATACATAGATAAATGAATTGTATTCATTTATTGACTTTTTGGGTCATACCTGACAAGCTGAGGGGTTACTCCTGGCTCTGCACCCTAGAATTACTTCTGGCGGTGGTTGGGGGACCATATGGGGTGTCGGCCCTATGCAAGACAAATGCCCTACCTCCCGTTCTATCTCTCTGGCCCTGTTGCACTTCTCAAAACTTGCTTCCTCATCTTGAGAATGGCAATCACTTGAGACTGAGTGATTGGACAGTGGGCAGGGTGCTTGCCTTGCACATAGCCAAACGGGAGCTTAGTCCTCAAAGCCCCATATGGTCCCCCAAGCCCCACCAGGAGTGATCCCTAAGCAGAGCCAGGAGTGAGCCCTGAGCACGGCCGAGAATGGCCCCAAACAACACAAACAGAGTGGAGATAGATTTAGAGAGCAGAATGAAATAAAATGATGTGAATTCTCATCTTAGGAAAATAGGATCCAATAACATTATTCATGGGGGACCCTTTGCTATGAGAAGATGCCTACACTTAATTTGGTCCTTCATTGTGCAGACAGGGGTACCCAGAGCTCTAGATTTCAGTGGGTTGAGATTTGCAGCAAGGGCCATGCCAAACAGCTTCTCACGGGCCCCACTGAGGAGGAGAAAGGCACCTTTGGCCCAGAACTTGGCCTTCTCCCTTATTCCTGTCTGGTTGCCATGGAAATTCCTACTAACGCTCTCAAGGATACATTCAACCTGCCATTTTGACAGTAATAGAGACAGAAAACGTGGCTTTAATATAGTTAGAATTAAATAGTTCTGCTAATTGCTTTTATCGAATTTTTCTGCCATTTAATAAAGAAGAAAACAAACAGCAGTAATTTTCCCCAAAGGTCAGTGAACAAGAACATATGGGTAATTTCTTCTCAGTATGGCTTGATCTGGCTTGATCAAATACCATCTCTCCTGAGTATGAAGTTTCTGTTTTCCCCCAAAGATGTGGCAGAAAATTAGCAATTTCTGACTGGCCTGGCAGTCCCCTTAGCAGCGTGTGAGATTAACCGGAGTCGCTAGCCGTGTCCTTCTGCCATCAGTCATTAAGGATTAAGAAGGCTCCGAGGCCTACAAGTTACCAGTGGCATCAGGGTAACCTGAGCAGTGACCCATGTTAGCAACTCCCAGACTCCTAGGAAATTGAGAAAATTGAGAGGGTCTGCATCAGAGACTGTGGCCGTGAGGTTCTTTAGTAGTTCCTAAGGATGATGAGTGGGTGCTCGTGCATCTCTGTGACCTGCGCCTCCCTCAAACTTTTTATGACTTGAGCACACGACCCATCTGACATGAAGCAAAAACAAAAACAAAAACCCCAACCCCTGCAGTGGCTGTGATAACAACGTGGCAATCGCTTGCACTGACAGAGCTCACCTAAGGACCCCTTGACACCAGTGCTAAACTCCTTCTCCGCATCAGTTCATTGACTCCTCATCCATGATCCCATCAAGAGAACGTTAGGATCACCTCCATCCTACACACGGGGGGAACGGGAGGTTTCTGTAGTCAAGTAAGCAACCCAAATGCATACTGAAAATTAGAAGGCCACCATGTGGGTATGTCCAAGTGTGAGCAGAACCCCGAGAACCCAGCAGCTTGCCCATAAACTGAGGTTGATAGCAGTACTCCTACATTAAAAAAAAAAAACAAACCGAGGTTGATGTACCACCAACTTCTAGTTCTAGCATTTCATTCCACCTGTTCACACACCTTCTGCACCAAAACAAAATCTTTAAGGGTGTCTCTCCAAAAGCTGTCAAGGAGACATTCAAGCTGCCATTTTGAAGTTGTCAGCCACCATTAGCATCTGTTAGGGTTCCCTGTCTGTACCTTGACACCCAACCCAGCTAACTGTCCGTGCCAGTGGGACCACCAGATGACACCTCAGTGGTCCCGGGTCCAAGAGCTGTCTTGAGATGCCCTCGGCCTTGTCAGCTGGTGGTGGCAGAGTTGCCAGACTTGCAAGTCGTCTTGAGGCATGGAGAGGAGCCAACACTGGCGCTCATAGTGATGGTCTTCATCACCTGGACCTGAGGTAGCCTGATTCTCCACTTCTTCATAGGGGTCCCCAAAATGTGACCCTCCTTTCCTAGTTTCCCCACCTCACCTCAGACACAAAAGCAAACAGGACAGAACATCAAAGGCAGCTCACACCAAGATGTTCGCTGCAACACCTTCCATAATTCACACTTCATGGAACTGAAGAATCATTTTCTCAGAGGACTGAAAGGAACCGTATGAGGTGCGACAGTTTATCAGCTACCCTTGCAATAGCATTAATAGGATTTTCAATTCCCTCAGTCTACCAGCTTTACACATAAGTGATTATCGATTTCCCCCTCATTCAGAGGCGTTCCCATCATTTCAAACTTTGTGGCAGAAATAAGACTTTGTACGAATGTTTGCAGTGCATGTTTTATATTCACAGAAACCGAACATCCATAGGGTTATATTCATATTTTACTACGTTACTCCCTCCCACTTCCTCCTACCCCCCCCCCACTACCCATTTCCCTAGGGGAAGAAATCTTACTTGAGCATGAAGTACTTCCCAGGTTTCTCCTGTGGTGTGTGGAATTAGGTCATAAGCTGATTCTTAGTGAAACCAAAAGACTGGGCCCCCCTCCCCACCCCTCTCTATCCCAGAGTTGCAGAATAAGATGCAGGAGTCTCGGCTTGCAGGAATCGAGCCTGTCTTTGTGAATAAAGTGGAGGACAAAGCATCTCGATGGGGATGGGAGAGTTTAGATGAAAGGACACACAAGATTTTCTCCATATATTTGAGTGGGATGACACTGAACAAAGACCGAGGGGTCAGGCATTCTGATTTCAGGGAAGAGATTTCAAAAACAAAAACAAGAAGAAAATGAAAGAACAGGTTGAAAGAACATTTTATATTGTCACGAGTCATTTCCAGAAAGACTCCTTCGGACTACCATTGGTGAACATACTGGAAAGATGGAGAACACAAATTAAAGAAGATGCTCTTTCAAACAGCTGGCACCGAGCAAGCACTCTTCACTTGGCTTTGTCTCTGCAAGAGACAGTCTAGATGCGGATTTCTGCCAATTATGTTTTACTGACACATCGTCGTTTCTTTGAAAGCAACACTGTTCAGAGACCAAGCCATATGGGACCTCAATTACATTCAGGTTATACAAAGGAACAAAGAGAAAAAAACATCAGCCCGCAGGCGTATGATGCATATAAACAGATCGCAGACAAGCTCACAGGCAGTTTGATCTGAATGGGGACAAAAGCCACAGGCGCTGAGCAGGATCTAAAATCCAGACTTTTCCCCTTCATACTAGGTGTGTTGAAGACAACCAGACTCTCTTAAATACTTGATTTTCTGACAGCAAATGTTGGCAAGGGGGTTGTGCTTCTAGGTCGTTTCTGATAGCTACGTCTTTGTTCATATTCCTTATTTGCCTCTTCAGATTACCTGACAAAACTTACGCAAAACTTACAACCCTTAGTCGATGAAGCCATCCCATACTCCCCATGTTAAAATAGCGTCAAAAAAGCATCTCATTTGAACAGATGACTGGTTAAAGAAACTTTGGTACATTTACACAATGGAGTACTATGTAGCTGTTAGAAAAGACGAAGTCATGAAATTTACATACAAGTGGTACTACATGGAAAGTATCATGTTAAGCGAAATGACTCAGAAAGAGAGGGATAGACATAGAAAGATTGCATTCATCTGGGGAACATAAAGTAACAAAATAGGCGACTAACACCCAAGAATGGCCGAGATTAGTACCAGGAATTTTACTCCATGGCTTGGAGGCCAACCACACATGCTAAGGGGAAAGGGAGCTCAGATAGAGAAGGGAGCACCAAATAAAGGGTGTTGGGAGGATCCTCCCAGGATGGGAGAAGCATGCTGAAAGTAGACTATAGATCAAACATGATTGTCACCCATTGCCTCTTTTGCAAACCACAACACCCAATAAGAGAGAGAGAGAACAAAAGGGAATGCCCTGCCGCAGAGGCAGGGTGGGATGGGGGGGATGGGGGGGGAGGGATACTGGGATTCATGGTGGTGGGAAATGGGCACTGGTGGAGGGATGGGTATTTGATCATTGTATAACTGAAACCCAAGCACAAAAATTTCTAAGTCTACAACTGTACCTCATGATGTCTCACTAATAAAAAAAAAGCACCTCATTTGACAATGCCTATCAATTAACTTCTGCTATGCGACTGACTGCTCTGAATCACCTACCATTTCTGTAGCTCATGATTCTGGAGCCGGCTGGGTGTTCTTTCAGTAGGGATTGACTCTACAGATTTCTACTGGACTGAGGCGTACCTCTAGCTGGCAGACCACTAGTGTCTGGACCATGTGGGCGGGTCTCAGCTATTCTGCAGTTAACAGCCAACAGTGATGGTGCCCCACCTCTTTCGACATCCAGCAGGACACCTCCAGCTCCGTATGGACACCTCCAGCCGAGGATCCATGTAGTAACTCCATGTAGACACCTCTAGATAAAGTTCCACATAGTAACTCCATGTAGAGACCTCTCTCTCAAACTCCATGTAGTAACTCCATGTAGATATCTCCAGCTAAATGTCCATGTAGTAACTCCATATGGACACCTCCAGCTGAAGCTCCACGTAGTAACTCCATGTAAACACCTCTAGCTACATTTTCATGCAGTAACTCCATATAAACACCTCCAGCTGAAGCCCCATGTAGTAATTCTATGCAGACACTTTCAGCCAAAGCTCCATGTAGTAAATCCACATAGAAACCTCCAGCTAAAGTTCCACATAGTAACTCCATATAGACACCTCTATCAAACTCCATGCAGTAACTCCATGTGGACACCTCTAGCTAAAGCTCCATGCAGTATAGACACCTCCAGCTGAAGCCCCACACAGTAATACTGTGTAGACATTTCCAGTCAGAGCTCCATGTAGTGACTCCACATAGAAACCTCTAACTCAAACTCCATGTAGTAACTTTACGGACACCTCCAGCTAAATGTTCATATAGTAACTCCATGTACACATCTCTACCTCAAACTCCATGTAGTAACTCCATGTAGATATCTCCAGCTAAATGTCCATGGAGTAACTCCATGTAGATATCTCCAGCTAAATGTGGTAACTCCATGTGCACACCTCCTGCTGCAGCTCCATGTAGTAACTCCATGTAGGCACCTCTAGCTAAAGCTCCATGTAGTAATTCTATGTACTCCATGTAGTAACTCCACATAGAAACCTCTAGCGCAAACTCCATGTAGTAACTTCATAGACACGTCCTGCTAAATGTCGATACCATAACTCCATATAGATATCTCCAGCTAAAGTTCCATACAGTAACTCTGTGTACACTCTCTAGTTCAAACTCCATGTTATAACTCCATGTAGACACTTCCAGTTAAAGGTCCATGTAGTAACTTCATGTAGATACCTCCAGTTAACTATTCATGTAGTAACTCCATGTGGATAGCTCCAGTTAAAGTTCCATGTAGTAACTTCATATGAACACCTCCAGCTAAAGCTCCATGTAGTAATTCCATGTAGTAACTCATGTAGACATATCCAGCTCAAATTCCATGTAACTCCATATAGGACACCTCTAGCTGAAACTCCATGAAATAACTTCACATAAAGGCGCTGGAGCAATAGCACAGCGGGTAGGGCATTTGCCTTGTAAGCGGCCGACCCGGGTTCGATTCCCAGCATCCCAGATGGTCCCCTGAGCACCGCCAGGGGTAATTCCTGAGCACAGAGCCAGGAGTAACCCCTGTGCATTGCCGGGTGTGACCCAAAAAGCAAAAAAATAAATAAATAAAATAACTTCACATAAACACCTCCAGCTAAAGCTCTGTGTAGTAACTTAATGTAGACACCTCTAGTTAAAGGTCCATGCCATTTACTACTGTCGTTTACTATAGAGGAATTTAGGCAATGAAAATTTACTGAATATTCCTGAATTTGGAAGTAGTAATTTTTTTTTTGCTTTTCGGGTTACACCCAGAGATGCTCAGGGGTTATTCCTGGCTCTGCACTCAGGAATTACTCCTGGTGGTGCTTGGGGGACCATATGGGATGCCGGGGATTGAACTCAGGTCGGCTGCGTGCAAGGCAAACACCCTACCCGCTATGCTATTGCTCTGGCCCCGAGGAAATATTTTAATGAAGCAATACATTAATACAACTAATAAGCAATAATTAATACAACTAATAAGCAATACATCAATACAACTAATAAGTAATCACTCACACCCTACTCACTGTGCTATCGCTCCAGCCCCAATCCCCCAATTTTT